ATACACAGTTTTCTTTTTTAACATAATTACATTTTAATATACACACAACAGTAAAATTTACAGTAACAAGTATTACAAGTAGTAATTACAAACAATGATTTATAAACAAAAGTTTCACAAACTTACAAGCAATATAAGGTCTTCTTTCTAGTTTGGTACTTTCTTGATATCGTATCGAGGGTTCACGATGAGCGAGTTGATTACGAGTTGATATAGGTATAATTAGTAGGGAACTAGCTAGCCCTGTAGTTCTCGCTGATCATACATCTATTAGAGATTGAGTTTCCACCGATGACGTTAGGTAATTTTTTCGTAAAAGTATTAATGTCCGATGTGAATCCATTGAAGTTAAATGAGTTGTAATGTTAGAATTTTGTAAATGCTCCTGGTCAAATATCTGAAGTTTTCCGATTGATAAGTGTTATAACAATCATAGTTATAGCTTCCGAAGTTTATAGCACACTGACTATAGAAAACTAATAATAGATATTCTCTTGGCGCGTCGCGTTGGTTATATTTATAGCCATGTGGAGGCGTTCTAGAAAATCAGATTACGTAACAATACAAATTTAAGTGTTTACGTACACACATATATTGTTGATTCTTACTCTCGAGAATCTTCTACACCTTTGGAGAATAGGCGATAAACTATGCATGCTTTTAAATATAAACTTAATCTAAACAACATTGATATTGAAATAAATATATAATAACAAATTCGTTACACACTCTAAATATAAAAAAAAACTTGATACAAATATTCGATGTTATAAAGGGTAAACAGAAACACATACGGTAAGAATATGATAATATTTATCGTTGGAAAGTTCTTGAATTTTATTTAGAGCATTCGTTTTCAGTGTGATTTCAATTTCTGGATCAATGGAATAGTCTGTTTTCAAACCTTCTTTCTTCTTAAATTCATTCGTACTGTCTGGTACTTTCTTCGTCTTGGATTTTATAGTTTAAATTTTTTACAGATGAGAAGTTAAAATATTGCATATTGTACTTAGAAGTATTAAATGCTGATCCAGATGTAACTCTAAAACCTAGCCTTTCGATCTGGCATCAGACACACTACCATTCTTCCACCGGATCTCTTGTTTATTGTACGATATAAAAACGTACCCTCTCACCCCCCCCCCCTTCCAGTGACACAGCGATATGTCTGCGGATTTCCAACTCTAGAAACCGGCTTTCGATACACGTAGTGGGCAGAGCACAGATAGCCCTTTGTATAGCTTTACGCTTAACTACAAACAAAGAAACGGCTTTTAAATGTTGTCTGAAATGGCTTTTATAAAATATAGTTTTTTGTTAATCTCGCATATTTACTTTCATAATTGGTATTTTTCTTGAAAAAGATTAAATATCAGAGAGTCTATAGTTTATTTTAGTAATTTGTTTCTCAAGGCTAATAGTGCTTATGCGCTTTGGCAAGGTAAAATATACCTTCATCAACAATTTTGACATAGTTTGTTAAATATTATACAAAGAGCTTTTAACATTGATGACAAAGATTAATCTAACTCGGTTAATATTCAGAAGCTTAACAATTCTTTCATTTTGTAAATATATAGTACTATAATATATTATAGATTTATTTAAAACAGTAGATTCCGTTTTATATCAATGAGTAATTTTAAGAAATTTTATTTCTATTTTTTTCAGGAATTCAATGAATTTCGATCAAAGTGTGGACTACTTTGGAGTTACGACTGGATCAGCATTCCTCTTGTGTACACTCAGGTATGTTTGTGATATGTTTTTTAAAAGCTCCCTTGTTGTTGTTTTTACTTCTAGGTTATAGGTTGATTTTTTCGAAAGAGAGTCTCATTACACTTACAAACTTACGATTGTTTGTTTGAGGGAAAAGTCGCTTTTGTATGATTGAGAATACGATGCTATTTACTAACCTACAGAGTCGCATTCTGAATACTGTATGAGTCTCTCATAGTTTTACAGTCCAACGAAAGCTAACTACGCAAGCCTTTCGAACAGATTATTTTCCGTAACAGCTACATTTCTAATATAAAAATCTTATTTCGATACAGACCGTTATATATATATATATATATAAAGCTTATTTATAACTTTATGAAAAAATTGTATATGTTCAGGTTTTATGAACTGTAATTTATACTCACACTCGTGGCAGATAAGTAGAATAGGAAATTAAAGCACCCCCTGAAAAACGTACATAATTTCTTCAGATTTAGAATATAACATAATTAGTTTTTAAAACAAAAACACAAAATACAGTAAAGATTGAAAGGCAGTTAATCATATAATAATTGTTATAAGTGTAAATATATATATAATGATTTATAACAAACTGAGAGGGAGAATGAACATGTTTATTATTGTTATTACAATGTAAATATTGTGGACAGAATAACTCAGATTGTATTCTATTTTACAGCTTGTAGAACCTATTGAATATTTAATTATTAGATCTATTGTATCGACATTTTCAGGTCGTCACATTGGCTACCTACACTTTCTTTGTTGCCTGCGTTTTTGGTCGTCAGTATGTCAACAGTCCAGATCCTATCATCCAAGGTAAAAGACCTTTCGACTACTACGTACCGGTGTTCACAGTTTTTGAATTTCTTTTGTATATGGGACTTTTAAAGGTAAGGCCAATCATTACTAGAAAATTTACTTTTTGCAATATTGGAAACCATTTTAATTACGAACAATACCGGCAGCTATAAAAAGGTTTGGTTTTACATGAAACCATACCAATATAATTTTGTATGTAACATGACATTTTCTATCCTTGGCAAAGAATCGTTGTAAAAATATACGTTCGATCGAGAGCTATATGTAATTCTCTCTAACTTCTAATAGTATGAAAACCAAATAAATCGTGTTTCAGGAGTTTATTTCTTTGTACTTCAAATGTTTCTAACACTACATAGATAGTCAGATGTATCGAATCCCCGTCACACCAAACATGCTCGCCCTTTCTGACATAGGTGCGTTATAATGTGACGGTCAATCCCACTATTCGTTGGTAAGAGAGTAACCCAAGAGTTGGCAGTGGGAGGTGATGACTAGCTGCCTTCCCTCTAGTCTTACACTGTTAAATTAGGGACGGCTAGCGCAGATAGCCCACGTGTAGCTTTGCGCGAAATTCATAACAAACCAAACCAACATTTATGGTTTTTGCGTGATACAAGATCGTGGTCCTACAAACAATTAGGTGAATGAATATTTCAGTAAAATGTTTTTGAAAAAGTGATGGAGTCCTCGCCAGTGATTGTAAGCTTAAACGACATTCATATTATATAATTAAGCTGATAGAGCTCACATGACATTTAGCAGAGATTATTCTGAAAAACTTGAATATTGATCATTTCTTATGCAGATTGGCTCAGGTATAGTTTTGAGTTTTACTTCTACAATTCAATAGATTATTGTCTCAATAACTTTAAACTATTGTTGTCCTTGGCCATAGAACAAACACAATGTCCGAAATTAAATAAACGTTTTAATAACTATTTACTTGCAGAATAAACCACGTTTATCAATGTATTCTCTGTAGTTACACTTTTTAGTTCTCTCAGAGACGATAAACGTCATCTAATTGTTCGTTATTAATCATTAGCTTTTCAGCGAAGAACATTATGTTTGTTCTATAGCTAAGGCTACAACAAAATTTAAAATCTATTAAAACAATAACTGTCACTCAACAATTATTTATCAACCAATGGAGTTTCAGTGAAGAATATCATGTTTATTCTATTGTTAAGAGCACAACAATAGTTGAACTCTATCAAGACAAAAAAACAACTGGCGTCCAAGAATTCGTTATATGCGAATGGATTGTTTGTTAGTAAGGAACATCATATTTGTTCTATGGTTAAGGGCACAACAATATTTCAGACCTATTAAGACAATAACTTCTACGCAACAATTCGTTATCCACCAGTGAATTTTCAGTAGAGGTTGTACAGTTCATTGACAATACAACTGAGGGAACGTTAAGAATTAAGTATCTAAGTTTCATACCTCAAAAATAAATAAAAAATATGTTTATTTCGATATTTATACACATGACGTTTATGAAGATGTGAATTGAAAAGTTTCTAATTTTACGTATATGTAGGTATTACACATCTAAGAATGAATGTATGCAAATTGACTAACACATTTAAAACTAGAAACGAAATAAATATCTTACTTATTACATGTAGACCTATGTACATATATAAAATGAAATACATTCTTTGTTATTACGTATGTACATTCAGCGTAAATAACATCAAGATCAATTACACGCAAAGTGATGCTACACTAATACGATACCATGCTAAACTAAGCTGTAGTGTATTACTCTTTTATTATTCTACATTATAGTATATTTTTATACTATACTGTGCTACACTGTAATAATAGAATACCGATTAATGCAGTAATGTTTTACATTATGCTACAATACGGCAACACAACGTAGTAATAAACCATATTACACTACTTTAAAAATCCAGGTTCAAAACAGTCGTAACTAAAGGGGTTATGACAGCTCATTGCATACGAAACCTACAGTTTTTATGGATGATAACGAACAAGTTACTAACGCTCAAAACTAAGGCAGTTGTTTTATGTGCAGGTTGCCGAACAACTCATTAACCCATTTGGTGACGATGATGAAGATTTTGAACTAAATTGGATTATAGATCGACACATCAAGGTGCGCTATTTTCTTTCCAGTTGGGCATTTTTATTTGAAAATTAACTCATAATTTCTGACAGAGAAAACTTATGTTGTTTTTAAGAGTATCTAAATAGTACACGGTCATCTACACAATAGAGAGGTCGCTTTAAAATATTAACCAAAAGGTGTCGCTAAGAGACATTAATAAATATAATTAGTAAATAAATATATCATCTGAAGGGCCCATGAAGATACTAATTATCCTATAGAAATGGCAGCAGAGAATATATTTTATTAGAATAAACAAGAAGTAAAAATAATCGATTGAAGATCTATTAAAATGTTAAAATAGAGATGAAGTTCTTTTAAAATTAATGTTTGATATTGGATTTGTTCTTAATTCACTACAAGTAACCTCTATTTATATAAATAAAAAATAAATACCATTAATATTACATATTTAGTCCTCTAAGCTTATATCAAGCAAGTTGTTGAATAATTTTTTAGCACTATCAAAACTCTGAATTTTGGCGCGAAGAAATCGTAATTCCCAAGCTATTCTTGTATTCACTACTTGTCGCTGATTTATACTGGATTCTAGGAATTCCACCCACAATCTTTAACCTCTTTAACCCTGAATAAGTTTAGCAGTTTGGAAAGATAAAATTTCTAGTATTAGCGCTACTTATGTTTCAAATATTAACGTAAATATGGAGTACTTGTGGTGTACAACTTATAACTCGAAAACCTATACAGTTCTCCAGTACAAGAGGCTTGGTCTTGTTGCTCCATTTCCCTATGTGTATACATACATACATAGCTGTACAGTTAACCAGTACATGTAGTTTTGCACAAAATCAAACTCAACAAATAAACCTTGTGTGCAGTCGTTTGACTTATGTTATTTTTTTTGTCATTTCTAACATAGTTGTATTCTAAGTTAAATTATTTAACAACTCGTTGTTTTTTTGGTTTCCTCCACATAAATATTTGGAAATAAACGAATGACTCTGTTAATGAAAGGAATGCTAGATATTTAAACAAGCTGTTTGAAAAAAATAGAATGGTAACACTCAGAAGCATTTGGTTTCTCACATATTACGCAACAAATTGCATAATCATGTACGTTTTTACGAACATAATAAACACGTGTATTCCAGTAATCTTTACGTGTGATTGTGGGAACTAAACTCGCCTGTATTAATTCCGAACACAAACAATTAAAAAAAACCGAAAACATCAGGAAGGATTTTATTCCCCAGAATGAAAAAGCTGAATCACATCGAAGAGAAAATAATGAAAAAAAAAACAATAAACAATCGTATAAGTACAATATCTGCGCTGACAGAAAAATTAAATTAATAAAGTTCCAGTAAATAAAAGTAAGCACATTAAAATATGTTGCAGTTACCTCACCTTCAGTATTTTCCGCTCATCTACACAATTTATGATTCTAATCTAGGTGTCTTACCTTGGAGTGGACACGCTAAGCTGTGACCCACCACCGTTGGTCCGAGACTGCTATTTTGATGAGACTGACATGAAGTTACCATACACTGAGGCGTCCGTCGCTTACAAGAAGAAGACTTATCGAGGATCTGTTGCATATATGCTGTACGTTGTGGGTTTTACTTTGTTATACTTAAACCTACTAAATAGGAGAAATTCTTAACATCACACGTTCATTTAAAATATCTTAAACTTTAAAATGTGCGGTAAATATACGAATTTTAACGAACAACTTTCATTATTTTTTATTTCAGATCTATAATCCCAACACAGAATCTACATAAGAATTTAAATTAAGTTTTTAAATGATTTAGAAGTCACATTCAAAAGCAAGCAAAATGCTTATGTAGATTCTAAGTTGGGATTATAGATCTGAAATAATACTTATGTAGATTCTGTGTTGGGATTATAGATCTGAAATAATACTTATGTAGATTCTGTGTTGGGATTATAGATCTGAAATAATACTTATGTAGATTCTGTGTTGGGATTATAGATCTGAAATAATACTTATGTAGATTCTGTGTTGGGATTATAGATCTGAAATAATAGGTTGTTTGTTTTTCAGTTTATAAGCCGAAACAAATCCCGAAAAAAACATTATCTTAATAACTTGTATATATTTCTCTGAAGATATATAAATTTCCTGTATGATAACATTGAAGAATTGAAACAAGTATTTATTGTCATAACTTCGATTTATGAAGCCGTTATTATAACATAAGTTTGTGTTTTTTCAGAGTGCCTTCTGAGCAACAAGGTTTAGTTATGCCTGATATAACAGAAGAACAGCATGAAGAAGATTATAACACTTGGCAGAAACAGGGAATCAGTCAACGTAGGGCTTCAATTTGGACGATATATGGTGGCAAAATTAGCAAAAGCGTGAGTTCTAGTGGAAGTCTTGAAAATATCGAGCGAGAATCCCTTGGTATATCATCGAATACAGATGAAATTGCACAAGACAGTGGCCACGATATATCCTCAGGTATCTGGGGGTAAGATTCTCCCCCTTTCTATTTCTCTACACAATAAAGAGCACGGCAATTGTTATTTATACCTTCCCGTTTACTTCAAAATGGCGTAAAAGATAAGTAGTAGAACTACCTTTGCAGCGTCCTCTCTCGTTTTTGATAATTTATATTAATTCTTTGTATGCATGAAATATAAATAATCTTAAATAGTAAAATAGACAAGAAAACAGTTTAAAATGTTCGTGGTTCTAGAAAGGCCTTGTTTATAAAAAGAATTATTGTACGTAAAGAAATATGCTCTAAGTTTCATATGTTATAATTTTACAAGATTTATGCACTTGGACTAAGTCAGTTCCGATTTATTTATAATAAGTCCTAACTTTGGATATTTTTATTACTATCGCTATCCTGATGGGTAAAATAGTCACTTGCTAGTAAATAATCTCGGTTTTTACATTAATATGCAGACTCAGTTTAATACCTGTAACTCTGGTGATGTAGCGACACAACAAGTTTCATGTAGAGCGACTTTTCGAGAAGCTTCCAGAGGCAGGATTCCTTAATAGTTATATGTATGGCTGAGAGTGTTTGCTACGTTCGAAAGTTATAGTGCTCGTTTTGGCACAATTATAAGTTTGATCTCAGAAAATTTTTATAATCAAGTTCATATAAAAATAAAGAATGTGCATGTATAGTCACAATTATCTTAACCTATAACACATTCCTATATTTTTTGCACATTTATTTTACAGTGATATACACTTTTTTTTTCGTATTACAATTAAATGCTCAAAATACAAAAAGAACCTGGTGGTTAGGGCAAGTGACTCGTAATCTACAGGTCGCGAGCTCGTATTCCGTCACATAAATACGCTTGCCTTTTCAGCCATGAGAGCATTATAGCGTGAGGATCAATGCCGCTCTTCATTGATAAAGAGTAGCTCAAGAGTTGGCGATGGATGGTATTGACTAACTGCCTTCCCTATAGTTTATCACTTCAAAATTAGGGACAGCTAGCGCAGATAGCCTTTGAGTAGTTTTGCGAATAAAATAAAACAAACAAACAAAAAGAACAAATACGATGTTTTTGTTTTTGATCATTTTTCTTGCTAAGATCCTCAGTATTATATCAAATAGATAATAATTTGAGAGCAAAACTTTATTTGGATATCAAATTTTAGACTCACTTTATATTCAAGCAATTAAGAAGAAGAATAGAATGTTTACCAGACTTATTACAAACAAAGCACATGTTTTGTATGGGTGCTGAAATGGTGTAGTTAACCCTAATTCAGTTTATAAATGCTTGGATGTTGTTGTCTTAAATAGTGAACTATTTGTTTAATCCTGCATTAACTTACGGAAGACAGAGGTATATTGTCTGGTGTCTTAAGGCGTTAATCTGACGAAGGCCTCAGCACACAAAATGAAAATCTTCATGTTTAAGTATTCAGCCAGATACAATTTATAGAAGTTTCAATGCACTGTAACCTATTCTGTTAGAAACGCCTCTAAAGCGAAATATTATGGTCCAATCATAAAAGACATTATATAAACATTTCTAGCAAAGAAAAGTTTGATAGCACTTATAGATATGTTTAAATTAAGACTTTTCCCCTTGTTTATGGTTGTTGTTCTGCTGGCTCTGTTATTATGTTCTTGTGTTCACCTTGCTTATGGTTGTTTTGCTGGCTATTTTAGTGTGCTCACTTCTTATGATTGTTATTCTGTTGGTTATTTTATTGTATTCATCTTGTTTATTGTTGTTATTCTGCTGGCTATTTTATTGTTCTAACCTTGTTTATTGTTATTATTCTGCTGGCTGTTCTATTGTACTCACCTTGATCATTGTTGTTATTATGCTGGCTATTTTATTGTGCAAAACTGTTTAATAGATACATAATTATTTTTACTCAATACATTGTAATAGGTGTGTACTTTCAAACAACAGCTTTTCGTTGCTCTATTCTGAAGCTCCTATTACTTTGGAAAGAAATGAAAATGCTACTAACTCAAATATTAAGTTTACATTATAAGAGAATTTCTTAAAGCTTCTTGTAATTAATTAGACTAGTGCTGGTCTTG